GGGGCGGGCTGGAGCACCTCCCCTACAAGGACAGGCTGAGAGAGTTGGGGTTGTTCAGCCTGGAGAAGAGAAGGCTCCGGGGAGACTTTATAGTGGCCTTCCAGCACTTAAAGGGGGCCTGCAGGAAAGGTAGGGAGGGACTCTTGATCAGGGAGTGTAGTGATAGGATGAGGGGAAATGGTTTCAAATTGAAAGAGGGGAGATACAGACTAGATATTAGCAAGAAATTCTTTCCCGTGAGGGTGCTGAAGCACTGGAACAGGTTGCCCAGAGAAGCTGGGGCTGCCCCCGCCCTGGCAGTGCTCAAGGCCAGGCTGGATGGGGCTGGGAGGAACCTGGTCGGGAGGTGTCCCTGCCCATGGTAGGGGGTTGGAATTAGGTGATCTTTAAGCTCCCTTCCAACCCGAACCATTCTATGATTATATATTCAAATATTTTTAGCTTACAGTAATAATACAAACAATTTATTTTAAAATAACAACAAACTCTGTGTTTAAAATATTATTAGATATATTACAAAAACAATGCCTAAAAAACTCTTTCAGCAACAGATTACGCCCTCTTTTGTATCATGCCGTTAAAGTGTAGTCCAACATTTCAGACTGCTTATGTAGAGTATGCTTATCAGATACTTGACAGGGGACGTACAGGATGCCATATAAAAGAGAACCAGTATCTCAATGTATTGCTTATATTTATAATATAAAAATGCTGAAAAAAATCTATTAAAAATATATTAAGTGTATTTAAGTTCAAACATATTTTTTCCCCTCTAAGCAAGTCAGATGTAGATGCTGCTTGTTTAGATCCTGACACAAACGCTATGTCCTATACCTTATCAGCACTGCAGTAATCCATTTTTTTTTGGAAAGAGCACATCATGGACAGCAATTGTTTTGGAGGGAAAAAACAACAACAACAAAAAATAACCCAAGAGCAGTTATTGATTGTACAGTCAGTAACAATTTCTGTTATTTTATATAATTTATGCTACCAGTGTGCAGCAATATCACCGGCAGATTTGGGGAAGAATCGCAGGATGGAAGGAGTGATTCTGGGGAGCAGGGTATCATTTCAGATTCTAGAAAGGAGATAAAGGGGCAAGAAAGAAGATTACATGAGGCAAAGATCTGAGAAAACATGGAAGAAAAGAGCTAAGGAGGGAAGAAACGCCTGCAAGAATAATAAAGATGGAGAAAAAACTCTCGGGAAAATTAGGATAGAAAAAGAGAGAGAGGCAGATCTGGGGGAAAAGAGGACTACTAACTCTTTTTAAGTTGTCAAGCCAGAGAGGAAAAGGAGAAAGAAGCAAGAGAAATCAAAACCATATATCTCCAAAAGTCTTGAGGCAGAAAGTAGCAGAATTTAGATTAATTTAGAATCCAACATCCATATTTTCAAATAAAAGTGATGTTCATGATAGGAAATATATAAAAAGAAGCTAGATGAGTGATGGAATACAGGAAAATTGCAGTGCTAATTTCAGAAAAAATATTAACTGTATCTCTGGTGCCATAGTCACAAACACAACTTGAGTAGAGACTATCAGCCCTGAATTCCCAATCACAGTGTCCCAAGATAAATGAAACTTGAGCGAAGACAGTCAGCATGTGGAAAGGACACTGTGCAGATGGGAGAGGGAAGAAACACTAAATGAAGGAGAGAAAGCGAATAGCTACAGGGAGGATGAGGAAGGAGAGAATGGGAGATTGATGGAAAGAAAGTGACCAACAGGAGAATGTGAACGAGAAATTAAAGAGGGGGAAAAAAGAAAAAGCGATAAAAAAAGGAAATAAGCTATTGAGAAAGCAGTAATAAATAAACCTTGTGTATTAGGAGGGAGATACTCAAAGGATTAGAAGGAAATAGAGTGAGAAATCCAAGGGAGGTGAATAAAAGGTACCTGTATGAATGACATAAAACACACTTTTGCTTAACCTAGCCTTTCCTTCTGCAAGCAGGAGGGGAAGAAACTACAGTCAGCTTTGATTCACACTAGAGTATGTTGGAAAAGTTTCTCACTTGACAGCGAGATAGATGTGCTGCAAATGAATTTTAATACTAGTTTGGGCCACTGATGAAGGCACTGGGGTGCAAAGAAAACAGGCTCCGTGCAATCACAGCAGGCTGGTCTAGCTCACGTTTCTGCTTGTGCTTAAATTCCACAAGGGTCAATGTATCATTATAAAAGCTGTGTAGTTGTTTCTCTCTCCTTGTGGTATGGCCTCCTTGTAACTCTGCAGCCATATCCCCGAAGGGTTGCTCTTGCTTATTCGTTTCCATGCTCCTTGAAGCAACACACATTTACTTGTACTGTTTAACCAAACCTCAGTTCTATTATACAACCATGGGCAGCACCTCCAGTAGCGCTCAGTAGTCAGTTTAACCCTTCTCCTGTGTTACCAACTTCCATATCAGCAGAACTCTGCCAGCTCTGAAGACCCTTTTGAAAAAAATACTTGTAATGACATGAAATAAGTATTTGTTCACATAACGTAAGCAGATTCTTTGTCTTTTTTTAAAAGAGATGGTTTTACTAAGAACATATAAAGTAATGTAGCCTATCTATCAGAATATGAAATCCCATTCAAACAGGTAGCTAAGTTTAAATTAAGAATTACTAATCAATATTTTCCTTTAATATTTTGTACTTGTATAAAGAAATATTTTACACAGCATACTGTGATATGCAAGACATTAAATTCTTACTTATTGTTAGCATTTTCTGCTAAAGCAGTTTTTCATAGGAAAAAATTACAATTTGCTGAAACCATATATGGGAATGTGTGATAGGCTTAAAGTACCCCTGAGTCTTGATTGTGGTTCTATAAATGTAGGCCACACAATTCTGTCTTTATAGAACAGATTCCAGTTTCAGTAGGAACAGACTTTATGTTCAAGTATTGTGCAGCTGAATGAAAGATATCCTCTTCTGTTCTCGCCCAAAAGGATAGAAG